AAGTGATGAAGATCTTATTGAATCATTTAAAACAAAGATCTTGTTGATTTGATGAAGTAAAATGAAGTCAAAAACTATTCTGTTACAGTCAAAGGTCACTTAGATAAAAGGGTATGTAGACCCCAAATCTTGTCTGGCCTCATAATAAAGACCAGAAGACCTTTTATTCGAAGATGGATGAAGCCTAAGAAGCCACTAGGAGAGACTATTAGGCCCCATACTAGGATAGGAGTGATTTTCGGCATGCAAATAAGGATTTTCGCCTTTTAGGGTCGAGACCGCCGTCTCGGATTCGGGACCACCGTCTCGCCATTTCTGCAAATAAGGATTTTCGTTTGGCGAGACCGCCGTCTCGGCATGCAAATAAGGATTTTCGTTTGGCGAGACCGTCGTCTCGCCATTTCTGCAAGGCGACCGACGGTCGTCTCGACCTTGTCAGACGAGACGACCGTCTCGACCTGACAGGCGCGAATCCCTATAAATAGTCGCGCCATTCCCCTCATTTCACACAGTTCTTCCATTCTCTCTCTAGTCACTTCCTCAAATTCTCTTTCTAGAATCCCTCCGAAGCATTTTCGGAGTTTCTGAGAGCTTTCTAGAGTTTTTATAGCGTTTTCAAGAGATTCCGGCGCTGTAAAGAGTGACGGGCTGCCAAAAAGCACCCTAATTTTCGAAAAGTTAATAGAAAGCTTGCCTCAGAGGTTTCTATACTCTATCTCTCTCTCCTTTACCGCTTTACTTTTAATTATGCAATAGATATTAGGGTCATGTAGTCGTAATTTTAAATTCCGTAAATAAAGGGTAAAAACGTATTTTCACCGGTTTATTTATTTAAAGTAGTTGGCCTATCATAGGGAACCCGAAAGGGGCGTCGTAAGGGAACTAACATTTCCCTTACACATAACTAACTCCCTTATCCAACTCTGGTTCTAATGACCAAAGTTGGTTTTTTTTTGAAAACCAACGCCTTTTCACTCCTTTTCCGGTAAAAACATCGGTGGTGACTCCAGAAGAACCCTTCAAAATTAGTTCTTGGGTTAGCCCGGTTATCGGATAACCCAAGAGCGCCTTTTCGAAAACCTTGCCCCTAGGTTCAACCCGGTTATCAGACAACCTAAAGGCGTTGTAACTACACCAATAAAAACGCGAAAATTGGAAAGTCGAAACCATCGCGTCGCTCCGACCGCCTCGTTTTGACGGCGGCGACAGATGGCGACTCCACTGGGGAAGCCTAGAGAGTTGATCCCATTTAGTGATGGGCCAGCTTAAATAAATAAACCAAGAAATCACGCTTTTACCCTACCTTGTATTATAACATGCTTTAATGCTTGGCTTTAATAACTATTGTTTGTTTATACATACGCAATTGTTTGAAATACAAATTATACACAAACCCTTGCACACAACAGTTCCCTCTATACCCAGGGGCAAGTGAGAAATTCATAGGGAGTGGGTGGCAGGTAAGGTTCGCTGTAGTGATGACCTTGTGCCCACCAGTGTGATCGGAAACCACCACTCAAGGTGATAACCTTCCTCTTTTGGCACAAAGACTGACTATGACCTTTGTGCTAAGCATGGTCGGAAGGCTGGAGAGTGGGGACCCTATAATGGGGGCACCTTGGGGGCCTTAGCCTTAGTGAGAATAGTTAGAACCTACCTTCGCCAATGCACTTTTCTACAGGAAAACCCTACCTCGTGATTAAAATAACTTCTCGCCTGTTCGCGGATGATTGAATTGTGTGCGCATTTGTTTGTTGCATTTGATTGTATAGCATAACCAAACAAAAAAAATCACAAAAAATATTTTTTGCAATAAACGCCCTCATCTCGGACAGTCAGCCTTTTAGCTAGCCTGATTTCAGGTTCTTTGTAAGCTAAGTAGCCACGCAGTCCGACAGAAGAGATAAGGGATGCTAAATACTATTCTTTCGCATAAGCCATTTTATCTCGAACAGTCTGCCTTTTAGCTAGCCTGGTTTCAGGTTCTTTGTAAGCTAAGTAGCCACGCAGTCCGATAGAAGAGATAAAAGGCTAAAATAATAATAATAATAATAATAATAATAATAACAAAATCAAAGCATTTATAAAAATAATTTTGACAAAGTCGTATCATTCATATTACATCATGTCATAAGTGGAAAAACCAAGAGAGAAAATAAATGCATAAGGAAAGTATGCATACACATCATTTTAATAAATCCCTAAAAAATGGGTCTTAGAAGCGTTTTTTGGGAAAATTACTGGGACAAATCCCCTTTGGGGATTTAAACTTGATTCTTCACCTTTTTCTCTTCGTTTTGATATGCTATGCGTCCAAATCGGACATCTCAGTCAAAAGTTATGTCACTTTGAACATCTACCGCCCTTTTGTATTGGTGCATGCATAAATACATTCATTTTAGGGAGCACTAGATATCCCTAAGATAATGGCAAAAGAGGCCCCAAGCACATTTGTGACCTTCGTGACAAGGAAGGGACAAGTGTACTAAGGTGTGATGGTGACTGTAGACCCCTAATTTTGCCCGGCCTCTCAAATAAAGATAAAGGAGATCACCCGTAACAAGATAAAGCTCGTCTAGCATTACAAATAAGAGCCAAGGAGACTTCCCATATGAAGATAAAGCTTCAATAGACACATATCGGCATCAATTGACGTCCAAAACAGGCAAGGAGAGCTTCCCGGAGTCCCGAAACGCGCGAAACTGGCCAGAACAGGTTGAGACGGCCGTCCCAGTTGGGACGGCCGTCCCAACCTGCCCCAGCCAGTTGGGACGCGCGTCCCGAAGTTGGGACGGCCGTCCCGAGCCCCAGCTATGTGGGACGGCCGTCCCGGGTTCCTGTGGGGTCCCAGCCGTGTAATTTTGCCATTTGGGACGGCTGTCCCAGCCCAGCACGGCCGTCCCACCCCGCACGGCCGTCCCAAAGTGCGCCAGCTGCGAAAAACTATAAATAGGAGGCTCATTTGCCACTTTTTCGACACCACAGACATCCCGTAGAGCTCGAAACACTTTCTAAAACTCGGAGCACTTGTCTATTTCTCTCCCTTTCTCGAATGATCTTTCCGATTGCCTTAAATAGGTAACAATCGGTTAAGGAATTATATTCCGGCATTTGATTCTTCTTTAAATTTTTAGTGGAGTCGATCTTGTATTGGTGAGGAGAGTCTGTGTAGAGAGAGGGGTTGCCAAAACGCATCCTCACAGTTGGAGATTCTCAATATAAAGCTTGCTACGGAGGTTCTTTTCAATTCTCTTCTCTTTAATTGCTTTATTTATTGTTTTATTTAGCTTTATTTACCGTTTATGCCAGGTAGAATAAAATCATGTAGATAGCTATTTTAATATCTCTTTTATTGCTTTATTTAACTTTATTCATCATTTTATACATGCAACATAGAATAAAATCATGTAGATAGCCATTTAATATTATGTAATAAAATAGGGTAATCGCGTAATTTCTCGTAGTCTTTATTTAAATGAATTAATCTGTCATAGGGAACCCGAAAGGGGCGTTGTGGGGTGCTAACACCTTCCCCACACGTAACTAACTCCCTTACCCAACTCTGGTTATAATGGCCAAGTGCGGTTTTTCTTAAAATCAACATTTTTTCCTTTTCCAATGTTTATGGTCAAAACATTGGTGGCGACTCCATAAGAACCCCTTTTCGAAAACCTTTTAAAACAAATACGCGAGTCCAAACCATCTTTTCGCGACCGCTCGCATAAACGTTTCGAGACGTCCTCCGGACGTCGAAAGGGACGGCGGCGACAGATGGCGACTCCACTGGGGAAGCTAGAGAGTTGATCCCATTTAGTGACAGATAAATTCAAACTAAGTAAAAATTTGAAATTACGCCTTTACCCTTTTGTATGTTTTTATTGTATGGCTTTAATAACTCGTCGTATGATTATTTCGCAATTGTTTGAAATATAAATTGCACACAAGAACCCTTGCACACAACAGTCCCTCTATACCCTGGGGCAAGAGTGAATATCTATAGGGAGTGGGTGGCGGATACGATCGGTTAGTTGGCACACGGGCTACCGCCGTTGTCGGAAAACCACCAACTCAAGGTGATAACTCTCTTCTTTTGGTCTAAGGGTGTCGCCACGGAGTTCCGTGCATGACCCGAGGATTGAGAGATTGAGAGGTCCCTATAATGGGGGCACCTTGGGGACCTTTGGCCTGGTGAGAACAGTTAGAACCACCTAAACCAAGCACGTTTCGCAGGAAAATCCTACCTTGTGATTAAATAAGCGTGGCTCTGCTCGTGGATGTATGAATTGTGTGTGCATACGTTTGCTGCATTTGTATTGATGCATTAGCATAGGGTAATCATACAACAAACAAAAAAAATGAAAAACCCTAAAAATCATAAAAAATGAAAAAACAAGTTAAAATCATAAAAATACCTTTGTTATAAAATAAAAAATTATTAATAAAAGTCTCATAATTCATATCACCTTTTCTTCATCAAAAATAAAAAGAGAAGAAAATAGGACTCTCTTCATCAAAATCCATAAACATTCATATAGGTAAGCTTTCTTTTCCAGTAAAAACCCAGTATTATCATACATCATATTAAGAACAAAACATGATAATACTAAGAAAAACAAACACTTGCATACATACATTTACAAAAACCCATCCTCATATCATGCATTTTCATTTCTGCTAGACAATGGAGGGATCCAAGAATAGACAGTTAAAGAAAGTGGAGGTCCTTCTATGCCGTGTAGAGAAGTTAAGGCATTTGTGTACATATATGCCGCGGAGGTTTATGCTAACTTTGAGAAGTCTTATGGAAGAATTCTTGACCTCCCGAAAATCAGCATTGATCCAATATTTGTTAGAGCATTAATCCACTTCGGAGTCCTGATTTACACTGCTTCGAATTCTCGCAATTTGACTTGGTACCAACCTTAGAAGAATACGAACTCATGGTTAGATGGCCTCAATCAGCTTGGGGTTTATGTCTCGCTCAAGAGAATATACTGCCG